TGTAGCTCCCACAAGTCCTCACCCATGCTGGAGTGAGACTTCAGTGGTGCGGCTGCTTTTGAATCACCCAAGCCTCACCCATGTTCCTGTATGTAACACCAATAAACTCACTTGTTTGCCAAGATGGTTTTGGGTGCAATTGTTCCTTTGGTCTGAAATTAGTGCCCTATCTGGGATGGATAGATGTTTGTTCTTGTCTCCCCCAGGAAAAGTCACACGATGAGAGCAAGAAAAGGGCCTCACAACCTTCAGCACACATTGGAGGAATAGCAATAAAGCATTGCTTCTCTAACTAGGGCAGAGAAGGAGATGGAGATATATTCCAAAGAGTCTGTGAGTTCTCTCTGAGAACTTTAAAGTGATGGATTTTTGTCTCTGTGACAATGTGGTTAAATTTAGCATTCCTGATTAAATCTTGGAGTGGCATTTATCTATGGGCATAAACATAAATATTTATAAGGCAGCTCAGCACCATGACAATTTAGCTCTAAGCAACACTATTTTAACTTCATCGCTAGGACCTAAGACCTTCTCAGTTATGGGTTTTTGACTGGGTTTACAGTCAGATATGAATCCATCTTGCGGAAGGGGCCACATAGCCAATAAAGGAGTTGGTTATCCCCATAACAGTCACACCATTATTGCACCAGTGGGTACATCTTGCCTAGAAGGTTGGTATTGTAGATCATAGAGTTTATTCACAGCTGCCTATGACCACCGATACATTTTCTCCCATAGCACCTTCAGGAACTGTAAAAGCTTGCCAGAAAGAAGGAAGTTTCCAGCTCAAATACAACCTGGTTTCTCTGCAGCTTACAATCAAGGTGTCCAGTGTCTTTAGCAATAAGGTCTTATCAACTAGTTCTGGTAGGCAACCAAGAAACATGTCAAGAGCTTGCATTGTTTTGTGGTCCTCTGGCGCCTCTGCTACCAACAGCTCATAAGGTGTTCCACACTTGGCACTGGAGATTTTGTTTAGTAATCCTTGGCTTTCAGGAACAGCCTTATCTAGACATGCAGAATATCTTCCTTCTAACTCTCTTTTTTTAAACTTACATTTTTAATTAACTTACAAAGTAGCAAGTTTCCATATGGCTTTTTCATACATCCTTAGTTTGAGTTAACTCTCCCTCCCTCGTCTTCCCCACCCCCCTGTACGCATCCCTGCTTAAACTTTCCACCCTCAGAACTCCCCCTCTGTTTTCCTTTCTGCTGTGTGATGCTGTCTTCCGTTCCTTAAGGCTTCCTGCACCCCAGTGGCCCTCTCCTTGCAGCAAATGGTGATGAATGCAGAGACACATGGCTGTTCAAGGTGCCGAGAAGGAATATCAGCTGAGCATCATCCATAAGTCTCAAGGAACATCCTGGGAAAAGAGGTAGAAAGAATGCAAGAGCCATAACAAAGGGCTGCGAGATGCTGACTTCCGGGCAGGACACAGTCAATGCCATTCCAAATCCACAGTCATACAGATGATCCTGGTTAAACTCAGTGAATCTCAAAATAAAAAACAACAATGAAACCCTGAATGTGGACATTCCTGGAGGGAATAGTAATAGAGGAAATTTGAGAGGGGATTATAACAATCACAGTGCATGAAATACATATATGAAATTGTCAGAGAATAAATTCAAATAAATTTTTAAGTAAAATAAATATAATATTCCTATAATTTCGGGGCTAAAGCCACACTCCAGCATGAAAGATCCTGGAAGGAGATCCTGACTCAACAGGGCATGTGCTTACAGCTAGGTTCCTGGACAAGGCGAGCAGCCTAATGAAGCCAGCAAGCCTTCCTGCTGGCTTCCCTTCCACCCCATCCTGGCAACTCACAAATCTGCTTGAGTATGTTTCTGCAATAAACATTTTGCCCTGGTTCAAGACTAACAGAGAGAAGCCACCCTTGGTCTGAGCAGAGATCTCTGGGACGATGCGCCCACCACCATCACCACAGTTCATAGAGTGTCTTCTAGCTGACCATGCATTCACCAGTAAACTTAGACGTCATGAGCCCCAGATGACATGAATGTTTGTATTGATAAAGAGCTGATGCTCACAATTCATGGATTTTATATTTGCAAACATGCCTGCTCTCTCGGATTTATTGTAACCCCCCAATCAATACCCAGCTGCATTTAGAGTCACCTGCAGTCAGGGACAGAGCAATGAAAACCTTAGAGTCACCCAGTTCACACAACCCCTTCCAAGGTCAATCAGGACCATGCTGCCTTCTTGCTACAGTTCTTTTGTGGTCTGTTTAGTAACAGGATTTGGAGAGATTTTGTGTTTGTTTGTTTGTTTGTTTGTTTGTTTGTTTGTTTTGTTTTACATTTTTGTGAATTTTTGTTGGTGAGCTCACTGTTTAAATGGCCTTCAAGAACAGCGCCGAAGTGTTCAAGGCACTGTGACAGGCCTTGCGGAAAGTATGCATACATCAGACGAGCTTTGTTCAGAAGGAGTCACAGCGCTGTTGGCTGTGAGCTCCACAGCCATGACCTAGTAGTAATATTCAACAGGGTGTTTTGAAGAGAAACACACACCTGAAGGTGTACATTCTACAACAGACAGAAATGTGCCCCCTGGCTGAAGGCTAACCCAGTTTCTCCGAGGACCCATGAGTTAGTATCAGTGTTCCCCGAGACTTCACAGAACTCAACAGTCAGCCCTTCTGAGAGCATAGAGAAGACGGCACACACCGGACATACATGACAGAAAGGGAAGCGGCTCCGAGACCTGCCTGTGTAGCCTGAGCCAGGATTGGCACTCACCTCTGTCTGACTGGGTCACCTCTGTCTGAGTGCCCACTGCCACCGCCACCTCTCTGGTGTCATGGCACATAGGTAGTTCAGACGATGGCAACTTGTGGAGTTGGAGTAGGGAGAAACTGTTCCAGGGGTTTTTAACCACACCCTTTGGAGTTTTGTTTGTTTGTTTTCTGTTTTGAAATAGGGACTCTTGTAGCCCAGGCTGGCCTTGAACATAGTATGTAGCCAAGGTTGATCCTGAACTTCTGATCCTCCTGTCTCTATCTCCTAAGCGCTGGGATTACGGGTGTATGCCGCAGTACCCATGTTATCTGGTGCTAGGATTGGGCCTGTAGCTTCATGCATGCCGGCCAAGCACTCTGCCAACTGGGTCGTTTCCCCAGCCCCAGGCTCTCCCTTCATACCACTGTTCTTTATCTCTCCCTGCATGTCTCGTTTCCTCCCCACCCATCCAGTCTGTGGTCACCTTACTACGGCCACGGAGGTCCTTTGTAGGCAGTGAGCCTCCAGGCTGTCATTACCAAGTGCAAACCTTCCATGGTGGGACAAGGCAGGCCTCCTGGGAATCAGCACAGTGGGATTCTAAACTCAAGTTCCTATGTGAGCCAGTGAAAATTCTCTGGCATTATTCTTACAGCTGCTTTAAACTCCAGCAGAGGGTTGGTAGTGGATAAGGGGCTAGAAAAACATCTGCACCCTCCGTGCCCACCCTGGGCAGCAGCCACAACTCCTCAGTGGCTTATCCCTCCCCACCTGGGAACTGTGACCCCAACTTTGTGACTTCTTACAATCAGTACCATTTTGCAGGAATTCAGACCCAATTCGCTCACAGTGATGCATGCCTGTACTGAGTCTGACAAGCCGGGCACAGAAGCAGGACGAGATACAAGTGTCTCCCGGGTAGCATTTACGGTTAGTGCCTGCTCCCTTTCAAGGGGTGGTGCACGCGTCGGGATTCTTGATATAAATAACAGAATCTATCTTAGCCCGGTTTAGCAGAAAGACAACTGAGGGAAGGACATTAAGTGGTTCTCAAATCTTCAGGGCTGCCAAAGAGCCACTCAGAGGAGGCCAGCCACCCTCATGCTGGTGATTTTCCTGCCTCCCTGTCCTTGCTTCTGGGACAATAGATATGAACCACTGCACCTGGCTTTAGGGTACCTTTTTACCAAAAAAATAGATATATATGACCTTAGGGAAAGAAAAATATATGATTGGCATTATTTTGTTCTATTATATTTCTCAGAAAATTCAAAGACAATTAACTTCATTCAATATTTACTACATTTCCAATGAGTAGCCAAGCATGATCTTAGATACTGTGTTTTAGCAGAAATTTTCAGTAAATTATGATAGCTGGAGGGGCTCACTTGATGTCATTTGGAAGAGAAAGTGAAAGGCTTACTTATCTCATTTAAAATCTCTATTAGGCCATACCTTTACCTTTTCTGGAATATTCTATAATGTAAACTCATTGAGAAAATTAATTGGACTACTCACCCAAATGAAATTAGAATGAATCTCTTAAGTACAACTTCTAAAATAAGAAAAACCACTATTAACTTTTTTGACATTAAAGTATATTTTGAAGGAACTGTTTTTATATACAAAAATAAAAAATTTAGTGTTGTGGTTAAAAAAATTTTTTTAAATAATTTTTTAAAGTAGCCAGCTAAGAACAAAGGCCTTCTAAGACTCCACCCCCAAAGTCAATATATTTAGGCCCAGAACAGCCACACTGAGCTCCAAACACCAAGTTACAGACCTCTACCAACCCTGGGAATGCAGAGAGATTTAGGGATTCTTCACCCACTTCTAAATTAAACTCACCCATAGATGCATTCGGTTGGTGAAAAGCTGGGGTCATGTGACTGAGGGGCCAGGAACAACAGAAATCTGTCTTATCCCACTTCTAGAAGACAGATGTCCCAAACCGAGACATCAGCAGTGCTGTGCTGTGTCACCGCTCAGAGCTGCAGAAGACAGTCTGCTTGCTCTCAGTTCCTCATGGCTGTGAGGACATTCTCAAGCATGTGGCCATGTCACTCCACGTCTCTGGTTCCACCAGCATCCCACCTCCTGCTGTCAGTTGAGCCCACCCCC